AGTGCGTGCTCTCCCCAGCTCCACCCTTCCCACGTGTCAGGCTCATCATTTTGCCCAAATCGGGCCCCGCTGCAAACTATGATCACTGAATACTTCTCGGGCAAGTCTGCTTTCCCTAGAGCTAGCGATCATCTTGTTTCTTCCAAGCGTCTCGTTTCCTAGGCGCCTACTGCTACTAACCGTCATGCCTCTCGGCTGGTTGTCTGCACAGGAGTTTTCTGCCTTTTTTGTGGGGCGGCACACAGGGAAAGGAGGAGGCCACCTGCAGCCAGAGGCCGCAGCTTGGGGATCAAGGCCTAGGGCCATGCACGTGTGGCACACAGGTGTGGAAAGCTGGGGTCTGCATCTTCTCGAGACATCTGTGGCACCACGTTCTGTCTGAGGAGTCACGGAAGTGCTGACCAGTTCCCATCCATGCCGGCCCTGCCCAGGGGTCCTTCTTCACTTCGCTCCCGGGTGGCAGCTCCTGCTTTCCGTGTGCCACAGTTTCTGTCTCGGCCTGCACCCTCATCTTTTGAAATACATGTTCCACTGGCTTCCCAGAATTTTTTAAGGCCTTGAACATCCGAAAATTGCACACAATTCCCCCTTCGGAATTGATGGAGAGTTTTAGGGAGGAGGAGTCTAAGTTGCAAGTCACTTTCTGTAGAAATTTGGAGGCACTGCCACAGGCTTCCTAGCTGCTGGTGTGGTTGCCGAGAAGCGCTAATGGATTCTGGTCCCTGCTCCTTTGACAAACGACATGATTTTCTTCTCTGGAAGCTCACAGGGTCTTCTTTTTGTCCTGATGTCCTGGGTTTTCATGATGACATGCACTGTGTGGGTCTATTTTCATCCACAAAAAGGACAGCTGAGCATCTCCCACGAGGGAGGGCGCCGGCGCCTTTCATGGGGAGATGTTCTGGAAATGCTGCAGTCTTGAGTGCCTGTCTTCTCTGCTCTCTGCTCTGGCGCTCCTCTCATTCAGATACTGGGCTGCGGCTCTCATGTTCCTACCTTCTTCATCTACTTTCCATCTCATTGTCTTTTTGCTCCACCTTCAGATAAACTTTCTCAACTTTATCTTATGAATCTTCTATTAGGTTTTAATTCTCAATACTTTTCACTTTTTTCTTTTGGAGTTTCTAAAACAGCTATCTTGCTCTTGTTTTGCTGCTGAAAGGTCTGTCTATTACTCACAGGGCTTCCACAACACAAGTTTTTGGAGGTTTTCTTAGCTCTGATGGTCTGTTCCCTCCAAGTTGCACTTTTCTCCTGTCTACTTTGCTGGTGTCTGATCATCCTCGGGCAGCTCTTCGCAATGAGGAGAAGAAAGTCTGCTGTTGCAGGTTCCCATGGAGTGACCATTCAGCCGGGGACCCTCCACCAGTGCCTTTGGGGGCTGGTCAGATTCTCTGGGACATTGTCTTCCTATCCCTGGGCTGGAAGGTCACACCTGCTTCCAGTGTTCTTGAGGGCACGTGGAAGAAGCAGCCTTAGGGCTGGGGGTGCCTGAGGTTCACATGCACCCTCTGGGCTCAGTCCAGGTCTCCCGTGCAGAGGGCCCTTGCATGCCCTCTCCATAGCAGCCGTTCTCAGACTCTCCTGAACCTCTAGGACCTGCAGGGCTGGTGACCACAGATGGTTGGCCCAGTCCCAGATTTCTGACTCGGTATGTATGGGATGGAGTCTAAGAATCTGCATTTCTAACAAGCTCCCAAGGAGGCTGCTGCTAGCCTGGGAGTCACATCTTAAGGACCACTGCTCTAAGAGAATAAACTGCTGGCTTTTGTTTTGATTTCTTTCACTGCATACAGATGGGAGGAAGATCACCTGATCTGTCTCTTAGTTGAACTCTCAACCAAGCATCCTTAATTCTCCATATTTCAGTCAGTCATGTCCTCCCTCAGTGCCACTTGTGCCCAGTTCCCAGGCCGTTTGGGAGCTTTGAGGCATAAATAAGACTATTTTCCTAAGTCTGCTCAGTCCTTTAACTGCTCGTCCACCTGTTCCAGAGTCCCAAAATCTGCTGTTGAATCCTCTTTCTGAGGATGTAAGCCTTACAAAAAACTACCACCCTCACCATGATTTTAGGAGGCTGTACGGAGGAGGGTGCAGACATGAGGCTTGGACTGGCCTTCAGGGCCTGGAAACCTGTCTACCCTCACCTCCCATGGAATGCCGCCATGGCGGCAAAACAAGACCTGTCTAGCCAGGCCTCTGCTCATGTAGCCTTTCCCTTCCCATCTTCCAGGCCATCTTGGCCCTGCCTCCTTCTCAAAAGTCAATTTTGAGAGACTGTCCACCCCACCCCCAGCGTGACGCAGAAGCACCTCTCTGAAACTCACTTCTCGTGGCCTGGGACACATGTCAGAGTCACACCCTAGGCACCTGCGTGCCCAAGACCACACACACAGCCCATTGGCAAGCTGAACAAAGAGACTGACCTACTACTGCCCCTTCCAAGAATCCCTTCACAAAACACAATCCACCTAGAAGGGTCCAAATCTGCATCTTCAGGTTTAAAATGTGCCAAAGGCACAGACCATGTGAAGTAAGAAAGGGAGCCATGACGGCGTGAGGCTGGAGGTCATGGGGACTCCGGCTTTCACAGCCATCGTGGAGACTAGGAGCAGCCCTCCCGGGGGTGGGGGAGCTAGAAAGGAGCCCACAGCCGCCATCAACTCTCCCGTGACCTTGCAAGTGGCTTCCCCTTCTCGTGGCCTTGCCCCCCACCCCGCCCTGTCACTGGGGTGGAGGCACAACACCTAGTAGCTAGTGGGTCAAAGTGCACTCCTAGCCAGTAGGGCGCCCTCCCACTCAGGGCAGGCTTTGCTTGTGGGCCCAGACCTGCCCGGGGAGTGCCATGTGGCCAGGGGCCTCAGGCAGCTGTTGCTGCCAAGAACTGAAAGGGGAAGCGGGGAGAGAGTTTAAAAGCAGAAGGACCTCCAAGTGGTGAGGAGAGCAAAGCAGCTCCTCAGAGCCAGAATGCTGGGGTTCTGTGCTCCTGCAGGCTGCAGGCCACCTCATCACTTCCTCTGCCCCATCTAGGAAGGGGCTGGTCTGGAGTCATGACAGAATTAGAGAGCTCTGTTCCAGGCCTGGTTCTGTAGCTGCCCTAATGTGTCTTGAAGTTCTGATCTACAAAAAATGAGATGAGATGGGACTGAATAAGGGTCAACTCAAGTTCCTGCTGAGAGGTTCCCAAAATGAATTCTGAAAACTTAGGGTAGGAAAGGCAGGTGAGATGCAGGATGTACACGTGAGGGTAGGCACGGCACGTCCATGTGGTCCCAGGAGAGCATCCAGTAGGCAAATGCAGTCCCACACCATGCTGAGGGGCAGGGTCCCAGTAAATTCCATACCCGATAAATTCCATGCCTCCTGGGTCACAACTGATCCTATGATGGTGTGCAGACTCACAAAGGACACAGACAAGTTGAAGCCCTGCTAGAGGAGGGCACCGAGGTCGGAGGGGTCCCAGAGACCACCTCTTGCTAACGACAGTCACAGGAACCCAGAAACGAGACTAAGGACAATGAACCGTTTATAGAGCACTTCCTGTGCACCAGCCTCTCGCTAGGGCGTCAAGGCACTGCCTCCTATAGTACTATTACGGCCTCAATTTGCCAGCTGGGATACTGAAGCTTTGGAAGGGTCATGCCTCCCTGGGCTGCTGACCACGGTTCAGGGCTTTGCAAACACATCCCCAGGAAGGGCAAATGGCAGGGAAGAAGGTTCCATATAAGGCTTTCCCGACAAAGGAGAGAGAGACATGGAGAACAAACTGCCCCAGACACTGCAAACTGGGCTGTGCTGCTGGAAGGGGACAAAATGACTGCCACACAACCTTACCACCTTGACACTTGCGCAACGCCGTGTTGCCTGCACAAGAGTGATGACAAGTACATGGAAAGGAAATAGGGGAGGCTTCACTGGGTGAAAAGCAACTCAGACACCAGTGCAAGATGTCAAGGTCAAGAAAACAGCAGCTTTAGCTGGGCATGGCAGCACACGCCTGTAGTTCCGGTTACTCGGAAGGCTGAGGCAGAAGGATCGCCAGAACCCAGCAGGGGGCTGTGAGTGTGCCACTGCCCTCCAGCCTGGGCGACAGAGTGAGACTCCAACTCAAGAAGAAAATCCTCACCACTCCCCCACCTGATGATCCTGCAGAAATTCCTGAGGAAGAGGCAACGAGCACGACCACCATATAGGAGTGAGGATGTCAGGACCATGCTCCAGGCTGCTGTGGAGGACGCAAGGGGGGGCTCTCTCCCAGACCCCCGAGGCTTGGAGTCTGGGGCAGTGCCAGGCAGCCTTTGGTGGCGAGCGCGAGTGGGTCCTCTGGGCCCGCAGCCCCCCATGAGGCTCACAGGGCCCTACTACTCACATCGATGCATCTGCACTTCTTCAGAGCCGCCGAGTGAGCACAGCCAGGTAGCAATTGGGACGGCCTCTGAGGCTTGGGGTTGCCAGACTGCAGAGTCCCACCGGGGCAGGCCTCAGGCTCCAAGGCTGTCACCCTGGTTTACAGACCCACAGCGTACAGCAGGGTGCTGGCCCTCAAGAAGGCTCCGTTCTTCCCCAACACGCTGCTGGTCTTGGCTGCAAAGGGCTCTCTGGGATCTGGAAAGTGTCCTTAGCCCAGTGAGGGATAGTTCCTGTTTCCATGGAGTATTGGATTTACTCATGGTTAACGGGGCAAATATAAACCGACAAATGACACTAATTTGTTTCAGGGGGTCTGAGATTTCAGCCACTTGTTTCTCACTGCTGCTTGAGTTATCTTTGCGCCCGTAGACTTGGATGACTAAACCTGTTCGCACAACCCCTAGGGACTTGGCAAATCTCTGTGGTCGTGGGGGCCAGATACTCCCTTCCCCGGCCATCCATGTGGCTCAGCTGTCCACAAGGGCGGACAGACCCTCTTGGGATGACAGAGATGCAGATGCCTGAGGCTGTCCCACAGGACAGCAGGTTGACTTGCCTACGGGATGTTGGAGGATGGGGAGCAGACCTACCTGCCACCTCCTTGGATGACGGCAGACATGCTGCAGCCTCAAGGTTGGCTGGGACGGCGCCTCCTCTCTCCAGGGCATGCACGAGCCCACGTAGCCGCTCACATTCTGCCTGCAGCTGTTCATGGTCCTCATGCAAGCGCTGCCTGGCCATGCTACTGGGGTTCAGGCTCATATGCAGCACTTTAGTCCTGCTCTGGTCGTAGTCGCCCTGCGGGAGCACATACAACATAAGTCACCATGGCCTGGGTCACCACGGCAGGACAGAACTGTGAGGCTTCTGGGGTCAAGACAGAAGGATGCCTGCAGACTGGAGATGCACTGGACAACTGAACACTGAGTAGGAGAAAAAGCAGTTTCAGTAGAGGACATATACTCTGCTCAACGAGATGAAGCACGGCGAGTCCTGGCCCGCCTGGCCCTGGGTGGGTGGCTCAGGTAGGCGTCTGCAGTTCTCCAGCTCTGCTCTCTCACCAGCTCAGGGATCTCACTGTCATTTGCTGTGAAGGGCATGGCAAGGAACATGTGGGGAGAAAACAAGCCACTAGCACCTCCTGGGACATTGTGGGTTCTCACACACACACAAATCCCCTTCTTAGTCTTCTTCAATACCAATGTTATGAGCACACTGTGACACACATCTTTCGAAGCGTGCCACGCATTCCCACTCTGCTGGCAAGTGTTCAAATGACTGGGCTCTTACCACCATGCTGCAGCCCTGCCCCCAGTGTTTGGCAACTGGGATGAAGCGGAAATAAACAGTCATGGAGAACACACATTTTCAAGTCACCATGTTGAGCTCCCCCCTACAGCACATACTCAGGATGTGCGTCACACACCTGCACCTCTGCCCGGGTCCTCTGTTTCTGGGATGTCTGGTTGGAAAGCAACCTCTGCTCAGCTGTCCTGGTGCGGTCCCAAGGCCATACGGAATGAGAGTTTTGGTGTGGTGTGTCTTTTTGAGCCTGCCTTGCAGCCTCTTTCCTTGAAGGAACAGCTCCTTCCCCGTCCCCCATGAATTGGTTCAGGACCAAGCCTAGCCAACTGCTGGGTCCCTTCTGCATTTCTTCTGAATTAGTGTTAAGAGGGGTATGTGACCATAGCTAAGTCTGTCATAGTTTCTTTTGAACTTCATATTCCGTACCTGAGAAGAGACATCTTCTCTTTGCCATGAGGTCGCTAGAGCTGGAATGAGACCTAGAAGCCGTTTGTGGCTATGTGCCCTCTCTTCCCCTCCAAGCCTGGAAGATGCCCCTGCCAAGGTGGAGATAAGGTCAACCACACAGAGACTGAGAGAGAAGGAGCCTCACCTCAGTGTGAGCGATTCATGAATGGGCAGAATGACCTAAAATTCACAAAAATGCACATGGCCAGGGTTAGCATGGCAACCTTAAAGGGAAAAACATGGCTGGAGGACTTGCCTTGCCAGGTACCACAGAATGTGACAGATCTATGGCAAAGGAGACCAGGGGGCACTAGAGCAAGATAGCCAAACTGACCCTGGGAAGAGGGCAGTACAGGGTCAACTGGATGCTCAGGTGACCTTGACCTCACACCATACAAACACCAATTTCCGAGGGATCACAAATCTAAATATGAAAGTTAAAAAAATGCTTCACAGAAAACAAAAGAGAACATCTTCATACCCTTGGAATAGACCCTTGGAATAGACTCAGATTTCTCAAACAAGGTTCAGAAAGTACTAACCACAAAAGAAAAAGTGTACAGTTGGACTTATAAAAATGAAGAACTTTTACTCGTGTAACAGTGGAAAAACAACTGCAGAGCAGGAGGTAACAGCTAAAAATCAAACATCTGAGAAAGAAATCAGATCTGGATATACAAAGAACTCAAAAATAAATGAGAAAATGCCAGACAGCTCAATTTTAAAATGTGCAAAACAATGTGGACACTTCACAAAAGAAGATATCTAAAGAGCTGACCCAAAAAAAGCCAAGAAGGTGCTCAAACTGACCATTAGAGAAATGCAACTTAAAACTACAATGAGAAATCCGATATTCCCTCCAGAAAGTCTACAGGCCCTGAACAGATGGAACAGACCAAGCACTGGCAGAGACATAGAGCAACCGATCACATGTGAGTGAGAACCGATCACATGTGAGTTGGCACAAGTTGAAAAAATATTTGGCAATATCTCCCGAAGGTGTGCAAGGGCATGCCCTATGACCTACCCTCCAGTCTGGGACAGACCAGGCAGGCCTCTTACTGCCTTCTTTCTGGCTATCAGCTCCTGGGCCCTGTTCCTTCTTGACAAGGAGAGTGCCAGTGTGGCAAGGGAGGGAGAAAGGCAAAAAGCAATGCCCTCAGAACCTCTCATGGGCCCTCCAGTGGCACAGCCTGGGCTATTATAAAGAACTGCCACTGGTAAGTGAGGTCAGGGACAGAGGTGGCAGGATACACGCTCAAGTCAGGGACTGAACTGACAGGGCACACACCTAGGCCAGGGATGTGGCTCCCACTGAGTGCTGACAGACCCACATCTCATGGCTCGGAGCAGCTGAGCCGTGTGTGACTGGGCCAGGACTCCGTTCCTCGGGCTCAGGTGTCAAAGCCTCTGTGAGTGAATGACATGGGCCTACAGACCACACGCAGTGACTGTCCTTCTCCCCTTGACCACCCACTCCCGCTGCCCCATGGTGGCTTTTGCCACATCCTCTCCCATCTCTCAAGGAACAACGGGGTAATGGCGCCCGTATCCAGGTCATCACGTGCTCTCAGGAAGCAGGCCGGGTACAGACATATTCAATTAGGTGAAGTGGCCTGAGCATGGGTTGCCTCCAGCCTCCAGGAGCGCAAACTGCCATAGGCCACTGCCCCTCCATGTCCCCAAAGGACAGTGTGGCCTGGTCTGGACTGTGCCCACTGCAGGGTGCCTCACTGGTGTCAGAGTCTGGCCAGCCACCAGTCCAGAGCCCCAGAACGGGCCACACAGAAGGAAGAGTGGGGGGAGAGGAGGGGGAAATAGCGAAGGCGGAAGGCCCACCCCTCCTGATACCACCCTCGGCACTAAACCATCCTCCTAACATCACTTCACAGGCAAGCTGCTGGTCCTGCGGTCCCCTCACGGGAGACAGAAGAGCTGTCTTGGGCTGAGGGTCCTGGGTACCTCACAAGATGGCAGAAGCCACCCACAGGGAGCGGCTGGGTTTGAAACGGGGCTCGCTGTTTCCTTCTGTGCTTCCCCTCAGGAAGAGCGAGGGGAGGGAGAGAAAATCCGCCCACTCAGGCCCAGCAGGAGGAAGGGAGGCGCAGCCCGTCTGGGCCTGGGGCAGGAGAAGAGGCTGAGCAGAGAGGATTCGCATGGCTCTTCACGGGTTTTCTGAGAACACTGTAAACCCCAAAGGATGAAGAAAGACATCCTGTAACTCTAGTTGAATCATAGACTTTCAGGGTTGAAAGGGATTGTTATTCCATCCCATTTTAACAGTCTGGGTGAGAGACCCAAGTGTACGAGATCCGCCTACCCACGCACTTGGGGAGTGCCCCTCCGGCAGCAGGTGGCCTGTGCTGGTTTTCTGGGCCTTTGTGGGCTATGCATGTCAACCTCCCGCCACCCCATGGAGTCTCAAGGAGCCAGGCAGGATGCAGGGAGAGGGTGAGGACTGTTTCCCGTGAAGACCAGACAGTCAATGTGGGGCTCTTCAGTGACGCCATCTCTGTCCTACCTACTCAGTTCCCCACTTGCGGCAAGAAAGCAGCCATGGCCAACACAAGAGCAAGGCACGTGGCCCCGTGCCATAAGCTCTGCTCGAGGAAACACAAATCTGAATTCCATACAACTTTCATTTGCCTTAAAATATTCTTCTTTTGAGTTTTCTTCAACCCTTAAAAAGGGTAAAAGCCAACTCTTTGTTTATGGGCTGTGCACAAATGACCGGAAGGTAGGTACCCGAGGTCTGCCATCCCCAGCGAGAACGAGGCAGCACAGAGATAGCACGGCCCTTTCCTGAACTGGATCAGAGAGATGTTCTGCCCTCAGGCCAACCAGCATATGATGCCAACGCTGCCAAAGCCCCAGCCCCGTCTTCCTCTTCCTCTCTAGGACTCAATACTGTTGACTTCCCAGAAGGGTCCCTCATGGGAACTGGGGCAGAGGAAGCAGAAGCAGAGAGGCTGTCCTGAATGCCACCCAGCATGGCCTCAACCAGACACGACACTTCACCCAACCTCAGTGCCCTTCTACTGGGCAGGTATGGGGACTCTGGGGTGTGTGCGGGGGAGCTTGGCAGCGGCGCACCTAGCACTGGCCTCAAATCTAGCAGTGCCCGAGGATGTGAAGTCCCTGGGGTGGAAATGTTGTAGAAACCACATAAACATGGGAAGGAATGAGCGCCGTCATTCCACCTGAGAGCAAGGCGCCTGGTGACTGGCCCATCCTCACGGGGTGATGCTTTCCCTGGATTGGTAATGTGAGGTCCAGGAAGCACTTCCATGTAGGAGAGGACTGAGAGAGCAAAAGTGAGAACTTGCAGGGTTTAACCAAACTAAAAGAAACAGAGGAGACAAAACTGAGAAATGCTTAAAATCTGATGGACTGGGAAGAAACAGCAACTCTGTAACATCTACAGATCTCAACACGAGTGGGCAGGCCCTGGAGAACGCAACCAGAGCCTGGAGTAGTCATGGTAAGGGTGTTTGCATGGGATCGGCAGCTGCAGCTGACATGGTTTGGAGGTGAAGCTGAAAAAGAACTCCAGATCCCAGGCTCTGGCTTCTGGCCACAGGGCAGTGGGGTCACCATCTCTGCCCTAAATGGTGCAGCTGGCTGCAGTGCTGGCCTGGCTCGGGGAGAGGCTTGGTGTGCGCAGAGCCACCGTGTCTAGGCTGGGTCCCAACCCCTGACCTTGTACTCATTGCTGACAAACATGCAGCAGATCTTGCTTTTCCCAAAGCCGTCGTGCGCGAGGCCCACTCCAGCCAGAGCAGGAAGGCAAGAACTGAGGAACGGCAGTAAGGTTCTGTATAGATAGTAACTATTTCTGCAGGTTAAGTGGACTTTCTTTACCCAAAGTCCAGAGAAGCCAGAGACCCTAGAGGCAGTGCAGGAGGGGGCAGACCAGCTCCACCGACCATCTCACTCACTTGCTGTGATTCTGGGCCAAGCTCTACGATCTCCCTGGGCTCGTTCCTGCCAACCCTTCTTTCTTTCTTCTGTCTCTCCACCCGCCCGCCTGTCCATCCACCCAATAC